GACGCCTCGCCGGAAGAGGTTACACAAGCCGCCACTTCCGGCCTCCGCCCGCTGTTTGAGGAGCACTCCCGTGCTAGCACGGTCCGACTCCGCCGCCGCCGCCGCCGCCGCCGCCGCCGCCGCCGCCCCCAGACCGGTGGCGCGCGAAGGTGAAAGCCGGGGGCGGGGGCGGCGGCGTCGATTCGCGGCGTGACGAAGCGCATCGACCCTCCCGTCACCTCCCCTCCCCACCCAAGCCCCAACACTGCATTGCACTCCAGGGGCACAGCTGTACGTTCTGAGGAAGGCCACACAATACGCTGGCCGAAACGTTAGCCACCATGTCAATGACGCGGCTCGTCCCTGATAGCCTAGATAACAATAATCACTTTCGTCTTCTAGCTGTAATGGATATGTGAATAAGACATTTTTCAATTCATAGAGTAAACACAATAAAGACAGCAATTAAAAAACAGCATAGCAATTCTTATTGTTAAAAATTGATGAATTAAAAAAATTATCTTCAGCCGGTCTGGGAGGTCGCAATTCGTAAGTTTCAAGCAACCTACGTATCCTAGTTCCAAATGCAGCGAGCCGACATCTTCCTCGGGCAACGTAATGCTTTAGAGCCTGTCAGTGTTTAGTTTACCGTTTCTTCCCCCACCCACCAAGTAATATTTGAGCCTCAGTGCATAGGGAGGATGTTACGTATGTCTACGTTGTTGGAAAAATAAAAACTCCCAATTTAATGAAACAAAATAAATTGATAAAATGAATCAAAAAGCTGGGAATTGTAAACAAAAAATCCAAAGTTTCAATTCACAGCTCTCAAAATGACTAACAATATAATTTCGAAAGAAGTATGTAATTTCTTAATAAAAACGATAATAAAAATTAAAAATTCAAAAGAAAGGATAAAGCCTAAAAAGCCCAACTCTGGAGGAACGGGATAGGTTTAAACACTATTTCACCTTTTTTATATCCATGTAATACGCAAATTCGTTGATTGAAAACTTGTCTTGAAATGAGAGGGTATGCTTCTGCGGCCGAATTCCATAAATAGTTGGCTGACCGGGAGACACCACGTCGCAGGCACAAGTACCAACTTTTCGGCCGCCAATCTGCGACCTCCGTCGGGGCGAAATGCCCATTTCACCCTGAGGATGGTCGCAGTATGACGGGCGAAACATTGGCACCTGTGCCTAGAACACGGCGTCACTCAGACAGCCAAGTAGTTATTGTCTCGCAATCATGGAGCATGTGTACCGTGCACTTTCGCTGATATTTCGAATCACTGTGCCGCCGAGGGAGGTGCGGTGCGGAGTGACAGTGGGGGCTTCGCGTTTCCCGTTCGTGTTGAGTGATCACTTTTACCTGCGAGCTCCGGAAAACGTATTCTGCATGTCACGTACTCAAAACCTCTCCGCTAGTCCACGTCCAAGCCATTCATTCAAGTGCTTCTTCAAAAGTTGAGCTTTAGAAGACTTCATTAGTAAGGAGAGGCATTTGCTTAGGAAAGAGGCCTTCTTTCGGTATGAAAATATTTTCTCTTTTTATTTAAAAGAAACCTGTTTTCAAACACAGGAGACGCAGTCTTAAATTTAACTAATTTTGATCCTGCTTATCTTCATCACTGAACAGAATCTTGATATAAATCAAATAACGTAATGATGCCAAAAGCGTTATTTTCATTAATTCTCATGAACATCAATTATTATTAAAATATACAAACCATAAGAAATTGAGTCAACGTAGACATTGATTAACTATGTTATGATCCTAAATTCTTTTGAAAAAACCTGACGCCACTTCTCGTATTTTCTGTAAACCCGCAGGCAGGAAACGGGAAAAATATTTTAAGCAAGATAAAGGTCGTAACTGAGAGGAATGTTAAAAATTCAGTAGTGTAAGAGGTGTTGTGTGGTTTCCAGTAAAATTAAATGTACTAAGTATGAGAGAATACGCATAATTCCTCGCGCAATGTGACAAGAAGTTCGTGACAAGATGTTAATGTAAGCATTCAGTCCACTTTGGAAATGATAATGAGATCATCCAGAATCTGATTTGGATTATCTTTTTGGACAGCAAATATTTTGAAAATTATTTTAAATTCCTTTGAACTTAAATTTAATATTTAATAATAATATCGGTTTCATTAATGTATGTGAACAACTGAACACTGTACTAATGTTTTTACAGCGGAGCAGTTGCGAAGCAGTTTATAATATTTTATTTATATTGTCAAAATCTTTTTTGTTTTTAATTAATAAATTGAATAATCATTTTTGGTTAATTAACGAGAAATTACTATTAATATACCTCATGCTAGCGCTAACCACGGAGTTAAGAAAGAGCATTCTAGTGTATATTATTATTATTATTATTATTATTATTATTATTATTATTATTATTATCATCATCATCAAATTTAGAGAGAATTGTCTTCTCTCTTAAGTCACCGTATCCTTTCCTAAGAGAGGAAAAGGAAGTCCTCCAGGGAATGTCCATGGGAGACAGGCAGTACAAAACAAAAAGTGACGAGTGAAAGGGACGGAGTGAATGGCCCTGATCCGCCAGTTCATTGCTCTTTAGCACCCCCAGACTTGCGGCTGCAGGAAATTTCTCAATCTGGCTTTGATTTGTACGGTCGTGTTCCTGTCAAGCGTTAGGAGACTGTAGAGATACTTCAACTTTCATATAGTCAAACAGTGAATTTGTTACAGAATAAAACTTACGACAATGTAAGCACTTGTAAAGCAAATTTGACCAAATTCCCATAGATCTCATATATTGACGTTTTGAAGGAATTTTTGAAAACAAAAAATATTAACCAACAAATAACAATAATTTTACAATTAATGAAGAAAGAGTAACAATCGATTTCACCAACACTCGTCAAATCTGTTTTGACGATCGTCATTTTTGACGAACTCCAAAATATTGACGCCTCGTTACGTTTCACCAACACTTTTCTGCTTGAATAACGCCGTTAACTTTTTATGGTCAGGCGGAAGAGCAAGGTAAATGGCCATTTATTTATATATTTATTTATTTTTTTAATTTATTTATTTAACATTGACGATTCGTCAAGGAATCTGTGTTGATTTTTTCACCTCACCAAGAGGTTTCGCATTGGCTGTTCAACCTGTTCACGACTGATAACGTATGAACTATTATATTCCAAGAAGGTTGGCACATGATGAAAATCACATGTTTGCACATTTACGAAGAAATGCATTTTTCGGTTTTTAAATAGTTCTAATTCATTTCCTTCGGAGACAAAATTGACGATTGTGTGCAGTCTATTACCTATGTATCTCCTGGAAAAGTTCGCTATTCTAAAAAAATCTTGCCTGTTTAGTTTCGACACCCTGCAGAAATGCCAAATACTGAGGGCGAAGAGAAGGATTTAGGAAAGAAACTTTTTTTAACGCAATCGCATTCAGTGAATGACAAAATTCCATTGCAATGGCCCGAGGAAATGTCCTGCAGCATAAAATCTTAAAGCTATCAACGACAGGGCACGGGCGTTAGAAGCCTATTTCTGTTTGGGGGATATTCCAGATGCGGTTTTATTTCTTCTAAATTATTCTGGAACATTGTTATTGATATTCTCTCGTTACGAACGGAGGATCTCCCAATTAATAAATAGTACATGTTTTTAGGAATTGCTTGTTTTAGATCCATAGTTTGTAAATATACCATAGTTAAGCATCAAAATTATCTCCCATAATATTACACACGCACCACTTGGAAAAAAGTGAAATAACTAGATTAATGAAATACAATGCACGGGCTTGTTTCACCCTAAACTCACGATAACAATTTAACGAGTCACCAAAGACGTTCATGGAGGGCTACTGGTCCGCCAAAATCTGACGAATATTTTGACGATCATCAGGCGAAACGACGTTGGTGAAAAGTAAATCAGACGTTTGACGCGCCGTCAGTGATTTGACGTCCGTCAAAGCTAGAGATCAGCGTTGGTGAAACCCACCGTAAGACGTCTGTTCTTACAGTGTAGGAATATCTTTTTTTTCTGTCTGGGGCTTTTTCCGACTTCAGGAGATGTTTATTTCGACTATCAGCGCCGTGTATCCACTATGTTCCTCATGGGGACCCACATTAACTTTTTTACACAAGACACACTTGCGGGGTCCTCGGTCTGTGGTCAGCAGACTCACAAGGTCTTCCGCGACAACACACATACATGAAAGACAAAAGGACAAGCAACCACGCCCACGGCTAGACTCAAACTCCGGACCCTTCAAACCGAGTCGCTGAGTCGGCACATGCTGTAGCCACCTCGGCCATATGTAGGAATAGCGTGGACATACTTTAAAAAACGTTTGAAACAAAACCATTAAAAAATGAGAAAATGAATTATTCAGCATGACTGAAATGTAAAGCAATGCAAAAAGAATGGAATGTTTTTTCTCTTTAGTACCAGAAAAATATTATTCCTGGAGAAAATGCAGTGAGAGTTTTTCTTTTAGAACATGAATTACCTCATTTTTAGGTTAATAGTTTATGGAATTCTAATGCACCCGCGTACCCTGCAATGTTCTTGTAACGTTCACTGGCAGCATTAAAAACAAAGTTTTTAAGAACATCTTTCTGATATGTTTTTAATGCCTTGAAGAGATAGTACTGAATGATCTTTAATGCCTTAAAGGGGTAGTTATAGGGATAATATTTTGAAAGAAATTTTCCGACAGGAAGGTTGGAAAAATAGCCTTTGCTCGTCAAATAAAGTAAGGTTATTATAATATTATCACAACTATGGTGGGATATTTGGGTATTGTGCGTTTCTACAAATGATGGGGTCTTGTAGTAACATTCGAGTATAACTCCTCTTGCAAACTACCCTTGCCCTTGTAAACAACAATTCCATTCATTAACATTTTGTCTATATACTTCGTAGTAGATAGATAAATGTATCAAATCCTGCTTCACCATTACTCACTCTCAAACGCCGCCAGACTGACTATATATTTTTGTTTTCAAAACAATTCACGTCTCAACTACAACAAGTTTTGAATTTATACTGTTCAATTTCCAAATATTTAAGCAGAGTTCCGATACACAGACAGGAAACCGAGCGCGTTCAAATGCCCTCACCGACGGCAGAGGTCAGCACAACAACAAACAACCTCAATTTGCATTCTGGGAGTTCCTTTCCAAAACACTTTCTTATTGAAAGAGGCGTTCCAGAGCAAACGCGACTCGCTCAGAACAAGGAAGCGGCGTGGGTGAAGGCTCCGTTCCCAGCAGGCGGAGAGGGGAACAGCGCCCAGCCAACACGTCGGATGATTCTGGAAAAATAAGCACGAAGCGCCCAGTTCAAATAACGCAGTGCTTCAGTGCTTGTGGCGGGCTCCGGACGCTCAAACACACACACACACACACACACACGAACGCGCGTGGATCTTGAGCGTTTCACTGCGTTAATTCAGCCGCAGACTCAAACAGAGACTGTGGATTTATCCACCAGGTAGATAATAGGGATAAAACACAAAGCGCGAAAAAAATTATGAAAATTGAGAGATAGTGAAGTCTCGACTATTTTCCCGGTAATGAACAAATAATCGATGCAGAGAACACACAACACTACGCAGGGTTTATTCAACTTAATGTATTAATATGTTCCGTAAAGTTGAGTTGACTAGGCTGGTAGAATATAAAAGAGAAAACTAGAAAGGGGCTATTTTTGCTTTATTCAACTACACAATATTCCCTGACTTTCTTCTCTATAGTGACACAGAAGATGGGATAAGATGGGAAACATGTGTCTGGTTAATTATTAAAAACATGCAATACATTATTAAAACATTTTGTGGTTGGTATCTCTTTGATCCGAAATAATACTTATGAATTACCACAACACCTCCATTGCCACCATTGAATTAAAAATTTTAAATACATTACAGTCGACTGGCTCGTCCATATTTGGGCTCAGAACGTTACATGAAAAAGTATTGATTAAAATAATATGTTTATTGCAAAATTAAGTTTAATTATCGTCAATATTATTCATCGAGTCCCAACAATTCATGAATCAAGTAGCAATTCGGAAAGGGATTGTGTAGTAATTCACAGCGTTTCACCAATGTACTCGTAGGTACATTAAAACCAACAGAAACACGTATTTCCCTACAATTCATCCACCATATCCTGAAGTAAATCTGCCAAGAATTATGCCAATTGATATGTCTTGTAGAGAGATATTTTTAGAGTATGTTTTTAGAATCATCTTGATGGATCACTTTCAAATCATCAGTTTCTCATCAGGAGACCGAGACCATATGATAGGAACTTCATACATAGTACTCGGTATTCGTACTTCATTTGTCTCGATTGGTGGACCAAAAGTGACCTAACCTGACTGACAATCAGACGGGCGGACGCAGATTACTTTATTACTGGATAAGGGTATATAATAAGGCCACGCACGACAATTTTGTTACACAGTTCAGCACCTGGACTGGATCGAAAATTATTTAACTTATTTTTGTCCGGTAATTAGATTATTTTTATCTCTTTGATTTGATTAATTTATCCTTTGGGGTATGAATTGATTTCATTTTGATTTGGCGATATTATTATTTTTTGTTGTACTGGGATGGGTGAAAATTCTATAATATTATGTGGTTGATCATCTAATTCTAATTATGCTTTATTAACTCTTTCGACGCCCTACACGGTGCTCTAAAATTCGGCAGCCTGGCCACGGCCTATGCTTATCCATAAATCTAGTCCCCCCCCCCGAGCTTGAAGGGTCCCAATTTGGAAGTGACACGCCATCCCAAGCACAACACCTTGCACAAGCGAGACGCCCGCCGAGTGCGCGACGGTCCAAACAACGCGGTGTCGGTCAAGAGCGCCCCGGCGGTCGGAGGGGGGGGAGGACCTAGCGTTTCCATGAGGGTCTCGAAAGGTCAGCCGAGGCGAAGAGAAACCACGTCCAGCCCCGCTGACCTAGGCCTCCGCGCCGCACCCGCGCCGGCCGCGCCCGCGCCGCGCCGCGCCGCGCCGGGCCGACCCGGGCCGCTTGCCTGCTTTCGTCGCGCGCCCACTGCCTCCAAGGCGGTCCACACATTCGCATTCGCCGAGCAGCGTCTACTGCTCGCCCAATCCCGAACAGCAGATGTGTTCGACGAATATTCGTTCCTTTTTGATGTGTCAAAGGCGGCTCCACACATTCGGCATTCGCCGAGCAGCGAGTCACTAATCGCGAATGTTCGCTCCCTTTGGATGTCCTAAAGGCGGCTCCACACATTCGGCATTCGCGAGCAGCGAGCCACTAATCGGCGAATGTTCTTTCTCTTTGATGTGTCCTAAAGCGGCTCCACACATTCGGCATTCGCAAGCAGCGAGCTACTACTCGCCCGTCTCGAACAGCTGATGTGTTCGGCGAATGTTCGCACCCTTTGATGTGTCCCTCAAGAACGACCTCGCGATTGGCAGGGCGAATACCGAATATTTGGCGCTCGGCGAATCGCAATCAAACCAGACCTCACTCGCTCGAATTGGCGAGCGGTCGCTTCGGAATGCCGCATGTGTGGAGCCGCCTTCAGGTTCGGTCTCGGGTAGCCGTACGGATCCCGACGAGAATTCCGGCAGGAGTTCACAGCCGGGAACTCACGGTCCTGTGAAAGGAGAAATGTTAAAGAGTGGTCGGAAACGAGTATCGGAATATAGTCTCATTGTATGTTTGAAGAACACATTTGGGAATTTTTTTTGCTACCAACTACATTTTGTTAATTTATTATAAAAATTAATCTGTAGTTCACTGATTGTCCTTTATGAGAATTTGATACCGTACAGTGTTAACTTTGACCACCATATAATACCAATGCCATAAAGGCCTTCGGAATTGTTTCAACACGCTGTGGGAAAACTTCATAGAATGTCTGTGGTAAAGATAAGTGTCATAATTGAGTCGCGTGTTTAATGACCCACTTTGGAAGGGTTGTATTGTGATATAAACTTTACATCTGGTAACGGATATGCTGGCGAGGTCGAGTATTTGTAACTTTTGTCTTCACAAATGACCGTTGAATTATCTTAGAAACGTCGATGATGTTTTCGTCAAATGAAATTCCACATAAGCTGAAAAAGCTCTTTCAAATAAACTTGATAATAGTGCATAGAATTGTATTATATTGCTACAATATTGTAACGTATTAGCCAGCGTGCCCATGGCATCTATTTGGGGACGCTTGGTTGCGGATTAGTCTCGCCACAGGAAGTAGGGTTTTCCGTAAAGGAAGAACGCGGAGACGGGAGACACAAGGCTTTTGGTGTCTTCCGGCTTAAGCAGCTTTTCACGTGTATATACTAAGCAGAGGGGGTGGCTGGACGTAGGAGGTCCGTGAGCCTCGCTATATAAACGCGTGACGGAGCCAGTAGGGTCAGGTTGGAACGGTGGTAAGAACCTGTGGGCAAACTGCTAGACGCTATCCGCAGGTGGACGGTGGGCATTATTTGAATGGGCGCACCCCCTTTTAAATTGCCCCCCGCCTAGCGTGTATGGAAAACCCTGGGCCGGCGTCCCCCCCAGATCTTGACATATGAACCTCCTTACCCAGATGACAGCAGCGGGAGCGACTGTGTGCGCTGCTCCGAGGTGGAAGATTGGTTGAGTGCCACGATTCAACGCCGAATTCTTCAATCGGAATAGAGATCCGCTCCTGCGATTCGACGGCAGCCCAGCCGTTGGTGCGCCAGAACGATCTGTATGTGTCCAGCGTGAACATCCGGTACGGAAGCTAGGCTTTTGTTGCGCGCTTCAAAGTAGGAGTGGAAAATGCCACAAATCAATAACGCATCTTCCAATCGGGTTTTGGATGCGCTCCGCGTCAGGGGATAGTAAGGTCTATCAGAGCTAGGGTTTAATGTAAGTTATTAAGTGTAATATATATGTTTTGGTTTTCTTGTTAATAATATATTTTGTTATCTACGAAGCTCGTGATGTCTGTTGGTCGCTTGTGAGTATCCGATGACGTCACTGAATATCTACGCGATTGAACTTCGGTATTTAAAATCTAATATATAAAACAAATTTCTGAGAAATATGTTAGCGACTATATCGAGTATTAATTATCGAATATCAAGTTATGTAAAAGAGAACGGCAAAATTAGCAGTCTTCATTGCTTGAAACTCTCAAGGCATTACAAAAAGTGTTTCCTTTTATCCTGTTAATCCGTGAGAGAAAGCGAATCTTTTAATAGAGAATAATTTTCAATTAATATTCATATACGTAAACAGCTATCCAATGTCAAATCATTACTTGGAAAATCGCAGGCGTTCCAAGCTTGGGTTAGATAGTCATGTATTCTCCCACATATTTGCTTGTATTGGTAATATTTTGGTATGTGAAAACAATTGATTCATCGTAAATATTTGCGAAGGTATGACAGATCCAGAGATGCCTGATCCTTCACAGGAAAGTATAATAGAAGATTTAGCGTTTGCTCACTGCGACTTGCCGCAAGGAAAAATAATAAACACTCCGGTTGGTAGGAAATTCAGTCTTTCAGCAAATAAATTTCCAAACACGTAGTGATAGAGATTAAAGTGGGAGTGAAATGTGAAAAAAAACATTAAAAACCTGGAATTCCGAGTTACTGAGGTTCCGTTCTTATTTAGACGAAAGAGCACACCATACTCTGTAAATGCCTTCACTTATCTTTCCTTGTGTTTTTAAGGAAACAAGAAAGAATAAACATGGTTTTCACCAATGTTCTTTCGTTTATGACTCTCAACCAACCCATGAAAACTCATAAACATCGATGGCTCTAGATGATTTGATATCCCATGATATCCTCCAATCACTCATTGCACTTCAATATTTGTCGTTCGTATAAAACTTGAAATCTGCTAACTGTAGTCTAATGGGACGTCCTCAGACAATCTCCCTCCAAGAGGAAGACAGTGAAAAAATCGACAGATGTCTTTTGGGCTGCTGGTAAAGAAGGCACGCAAAAATTCCAATTATCAATTGCTCGACTCTTCGAGATTTGAATACAAAATATTGCATAATAAGATAAGGGAAAGGTATGTCAAAAACTCAGATTATCGGGATAATCGCGAACTCCAGGATCTGATGTCTTTATTCGAAGGAGACTTAACTTATTTTTGTATTATTTTAAGGTCGCATCAACATCTTATGTCATTAGCGAACGCACTAGTTGGGATTTAACGTTTGTAACTAGAAGTGCAATGATACTGTAGATTGATTAGGGTGTAAAGGACGAACACAAAATACCATACTCCCAAGGCCGGACTGAAAGACCGCCGATCCATTAGCCA